CGTGAAGGGCGACTGGAAGGTCGCGCGCTGGAAGTGTTCTCGGACAGTTCGGGGGCCGAGTTATCAGTGGTCCGGGCGAGCGCCCGGGGCTGGGGGCGCGCAGCCCTCGCCCGCGGTGTGTGGTCTCTCGCGGCGCGCATGTCCCTGTCGGCGTGGGCGCGCCGCGCCCCGTCGAAGAGCAGCGTCTCTGATGGGCCGCCCCGCGAAGTTTGCAGACTATTGCACCTGCTCGGTGCGCGCCAAGTGCAGTGGATGCGCGATTCCACGCGCCCGGGGCCTAGGAAGCTCTGTGGCTCTGTGCGTTGTAGAATGCTTGGCTACGACGACAACGGCCCCCGCTCGATACTTCTCTGCAACTTGATTCGAGACGTTCTGGAAAGAGGCCCGAGCTCGGAAACGGCGCTCTCGAGCTTGTAATCCACGCTGGTCGGTGTGGGCCCACCTGCCTGCAGCGGTTCCCGCCTGATCTTCCCTCGCGCTTTGCTCCGAGACGCTCTCGCCGGATATGGCCCCCATTCAGGGGCGGCCCGTTCGAGGCGCCCTCGGAATTCGCTCAAGTTGGCGAAGGCCCAGCAGCGACGACAATGGCTCTGATTCCATAGTTCTGCGAAATTTATTCCAAAACGTTGTGAACAAAGATGCCTTCCAAATTCAGGAACGGCGCTTCGCTCGAGACGTCTTCGAAGGTCATTCAATTTTGCGTCGGCGCTTTTTCCGCCACAGTGGTTCCCGCCCGGTACTTCCACGCACTTTATTCCGAGGCGATGTAGACGATGGTGTCCGCGGAACTCGAGAAGGGCGCTTCCGCTAGGCACGTCGCACAAACTCAGTCAAGTTTGTTGAAAGCCCCGCTACAGCGAACTCTGCTCCTGTTCAACTCTTGCAGCGGCCTTGCCAGGCCCCCCCCCTCAATTAGAGAACGGCGCTCTCGCTCGAGACTTCCTCGCAAGTCGCGCAAGTTGGCGCGGGCCTGCATGCGACTGCAATGGCCCCCGCTTGATGCTTCCTTGGAATTTGCCCAGAGACGCCCTGGCCAGAGAGGCGCCCGAACTCAGCCGTGGCGCTCTGGCTTTGGACTTCTTCGACGGTCACTCAAGTCTGCGTCGATGCTTCCCCGCGCTTTCTTCCGGAGCGCCCTGGCCAGAGAGGCCCCGCAACTGGCGGGCGGCGATGATGCTGATGATGGTGATGGGGAGGAGGGTGGGGGGGGCGAGGGTGAGGATGGGGGTGGGGGTGCTGCTGCTGATGTTCTCGCCCGAGGCTTCGTCGCAATCTCGTCAAGTCGGTGAGTTGCCCGTGGGCGCGCGAGCTCGCGTCGCGGCCGTGGCGCCGCGGCGCGCGCGCTGGACGCGCTGCTATCGACTTAGTATTGGGGGTGCAAGGGGGGGGGCTTTTTTTTCAGCAGCGGCAGGGGCAATCCGCTCGCGCGCGCTAGTAGCTGCTCGGGCGGGGCGCGCTGATTGCCCGGGTGCATGGGGAAGGGGCCGGGCAGGGGGCGGCCGTGGAGCAGGGGGGGGGAATTGGGCACTTGCAGCGCGGAGGTCTTCGGCGTGAGCGGCCAGTGCGACGAGCCGTTGCCGGGGCGTCCTGGCAGCGGGCGTGGAGCGACGTCGCGCCCCTGCCCGCGGGCCGAGGCGGGGGCGGCGGGCGCTTGAGGCGAGAAACAAGTCGACCAGTTCAGGGGGAGAGGTGAACAAGTGACGAGGGCGCCCGCGTGTTCGTCAAAGGCCATGCCGCCAGGAATTCCAGCGCGCAGCGGCTGCGTGGTGCGATGGGGCCGGGGCCGAGGGACTGGCCAGCGATTCGCTCGCGGCGGCAGATGCTGCGAGCCTCCGAGCTGAGCAGCTGAGGCTGGGCTGCAGGACTGCGGCAGGTCGATGATTGCGCCCCGGCGGAGGGCGGCGCCGAGGGGGCCAACTGCAGAGACTCGCAGCGGCGACCAGGGCGGGGGCAGGGGGGGCGGTCCTGGCCAGCGCGCGCGTCGCAGCTGGGAGTGGCGGGGGCGCCCGGCCACGGATCTGGCGGGGCGAGGGCGCCCAGCTGCGGGCGCAGCTGGGCAGGGGCGGAGAGCGGCGGCCAACTGGGCTGGCGTCGGCGGCGCAGCCGGTAGGCCGTCGAGGCGCGCGGCCGTGGAATTGGCCCAGCGCGGGCGCCCGGTGTCCGCAGAGACCGCGACGCGGCGGAGACGAGTAGTAAGCGTCTCTGCGCTCTCGCTGCCAGAGGCCGCTTCGGGCGGCGCTGATGGGGCGCGCGGCTGACGCGAAGCGGCGGGGGGCGCTGTAGGGGCGGCGCGCGGCCCCGCCCCGGAGCGCCGGGCCCGCCGACGAGGTGGCGCCAGCGAGAGCGCGGCGGTCGCATCGCCGGACGCCATCGTAGACCGCCGCGTTGGGCCACCTGGGGCAGTGGCGTGCAGGAGGAGGCGCCTGATCGGTGCGCGCGCGAAAATGGCCCAGGGCCCACCTGGGGGAGTGGGCCCCGTGAGAGTCGTCGCTGGCGCCCAGGGTAGCTGCCAGGTGCGGTTCGTCAGCCGGGCGGAGGCCGTCGTGGGGCCGGTCGCTTGCGGAGGGCCGTGTCTAGCGTGCGATGCGCGGCGCCCGGGCTTGCGTTCTTCCTGTCTGTCGCGCGCTGGTGGGGGCGTCCGCGCCTTTGAATTTCCGCGCGCGGGGCTGGCCCCGAGCTGGCCGGGGGGCGCCCGCCGCTGGCGCGTTTGCCCCCTTGGTCTCTCTCTGCGGCTGCCCGCGCCTGCCGCTCTTGCTGCGGGCGCCTCGCTTCGCCCCGGTCAATGTCGATGTGCCGCTGCCGACAGTGCGCCCGCGTGTCGTAGTAGCAGGCGTATAGATCAGGGGTAATCTGCTTGTGCAAATTGTCTAAGCCGCCAGGATTATAGCGACCCTTGCCCCGTCCCTTGCCGTCTTGCACGCCGCGGGCCCAGTCCCAGTCTTCCACGGGCTTCGCCCCGCGGGTGACCTCGCGGCGCTAGATGATATCTGACCTGTGGCCCCATGTCGGCAGCCATCGAACGCCGCCTCGGGTCGCGCGGTGGAGGCTGTCATGCAGGTCATTCCAGTCGGGGCGGTGGTGGGAGAGGTCGCTCCCTCAGCCGCGACTTCTCCCAGCCGGGCCGCTGCGCCATTGCGCGGGGCGAGCGCCTCCATGTGCTGTCGCGGGGGCCGTCCGTGCCGCCCTTCTTCCAGGCGGGCCAGACAGCAGCCTGGTAGTGAACCGAGCGTCAGGTAGAGGCGTCGGGGGGCGCTTCGCGTGGAGTCTGCTCCGTTCCAGACCGTGGCCCATTCGACCTCAATCCTGGCGCAGAGAAACTATCCCGTTCGGACCTCCTCCGGCGGTCCGATCAGTGAGCTGGGCATTGCGTCGGGGCAGTGTCGCCCCTTCGTCTCGTCGGCCCGCGCGTGTGATCGCGCGGGGCTAGCGCCGTCGTCGCCCCCGGCCATCAGGCAGGGGCCAGCCCTTGCATCGGGCGCGAGACCGCTGTGCTGATGTGACGCGGCGTTCCTGGTGGCGGTGCTCACCAGCTGTCCCGGCCCCCCCGGCTGGTTTAGGATGCTGCCTGTGCCCCCTCGTCGCCGTCGCCGCCGCCCTCGTCGCCGCCCCGGTCGGGGGTGGGGCTCCTGCGGTCGGTGCCTGCTTGCTCGACTGGAGAGGGGTCGGCCCCGCGCTTGGCCGCCTCTGGGGTCGCGCCGCCGGCCTCCCGACCGCTTGGGCCCCGTTGAACGAATGCGACGCGCTGCGGCCGATGCGCACCTTGTTGGTGCGGGGTCGGGGTCCTGAGTCGCATCTGTAGTCGCTGTTCCAGGGGGCTCGTCTGCGGCCGTCGTCGTGGAAGCGTCTGCCGCTTCCCCGACTAGAGTCGGGCGGCGGTAATGGGGGGGCAGAGGGGGGTCGGACTCCCGATGCCCGGGCTGGCCAGGAAGGCAGCCGGGTAATTTGCGTCGCGCCTGGGCGGCGGCCCGCTCAGCTCCTTCTCGATCACCGATGTGCTGTTATTCGTTTGGTGCTTATCATGGCCCCCGTGTGCTGATGTCTTTCCGCGGAAAACGTGTCCCCGCTGGGGGCGTTCGGGAGGCCGTCCTGTCCTCCTGCGAACCGTGGAACAACGCGCGCCTGCCCGTCCGCGGAATCAGCGCCGAGGGTTTTTGGGCCCTCCATGGGCACCTGGAGACGCTGTCAGAGCGGTCGGCAAACTGGCAGCATCGTGCCACCACCTCGCGGCGAAGGGTAATGACGGCTCCACTGCTTGGAGGGAGAGAGGAGCGACATGCTTCAAAGCCGCATGGGCCGCCCTCGAGAACCTGGTGCGCCCAGCCAAGCTTGACATGCTAAAGCTGGATCAACTGGGGCGCTAGCTCTGCGTCGTGCTGGGGCCGCCCGCCCTGCGTGGCATCGGCGCAAGGTTCGATCTCGCGAAGGCCTATTCCACCATCTCGCGCGACGAATGCATTGGAAGCTTCGACGCAGAAGGATGTGCCTGGGTCAGCAGCGAGATCGATCAGCTCCTGGCAACCAATGGAGTAGCGGCCTATAGGCGAGGGACATTCTCGGCGGCGCTGCGTCGGGTGTTGGATGGGCGAGCATAGCCTCCGAGGGGAACCAATACGGGGCGGCGTTGAGCTCACCGACTTCCTGCGCAGCGTGTAGGGCGTGCCGTCCCCGGGGCGCGAGAAACGTGCGCGCCGCCCGTTTCCTTTTGCAAGGTGGTTCAGCCAACCGACGGCGCCCGTCTGGCACATTTACTTCTGCCGCAGACGGGCCCCCGCAGCCCCGCCGCAATCGGGGCTGCCAGACCCTGGGCGCGCGCCGACGAGGGCCGCCTCGGGGTGCGCGTGGCGCGAAAGTGGCACGAAGGGAAGTATGATGGGTGCCCCTGCTGCGGGGCCCATCCTGACGTGGGAGCTGGGTGCCCCCCCTCTGCTGGGCGTGTCCACGTTCCGTCCGGGCGCGTGGCCCGGGGGCCCCGCCGGCCCGGGGGCGACGCGCCGTGCCAGGGCCTGGCATGTGGCCTCCCAGCGTGCCCGGATTGGATTGGCGCCTTCGAGAGCAAGATTCGGATTGCCCAATGGTGTCGCGCAGATTGGCTGGTCCAGATCTGGGACGCGCGGCTCTCGGGCGCGCGTGCAATCCTGGCTCGGAATGGGGCGTTGGCCCATCCAAGAAAGCTGCCGCCGCGCGACAGGTCCGCGCCGAAGGTCAGCCTCGCCGCCGACCCCCTGAACGCCCAGGCAGCCCGTTCATCCATTTGCATCCAGGGCCTGGGCGATGACCTGTACGCGCGCAAGGCTCAGCAGGCAGCCAGTTTCGCAGTCGACACACTCGCCGTTTTCGCAGATCCCAGCGGCTGCAAGGACACCATGGCGCTGCTCGACCAGGCAACCCGGAAGCAGCGATCCATCGCCCTTGCCGAGCGTGAGCTGAGAGCCATGGCCGCGCTGGAGGCGGCGTGGAAGGAGAGATGCTGGGCGCCCCTGCCGCTGCGGGGTGGCGTCCCGAGCTTGCCCGAGCGTAGGCGCAGGGCCATCTCCACCTCTGCCGACCCACGTGCCGACCGCCCAGGGCAAACCGCCAATCGGCCCCCGTCGGGGACGTCCGTCCAGCGACCACCGCCGCAGTCGCAGCCCGCACCGCAGCCAGGTGATGCGCAGCACGACGCAGCAGCCGGCCCCCCGGGTGCCCCCGCCCCTCTTCCAGGCGACAGTTCCAGGGCCTGGGCGCCTGCGCTCCCGCCCCGGTGCCCGTCGCCCCCGCTTCCAAGAGCCCCTTGCGTGTCCTGCGCGAACTCGAGATGGGGTTTCTGGTGAACCTGGTTGGTTACCCGAGGTGCAATTACGACCGAGACATCAACCTGCATTGCGCCAGCTTGTGCAGCAGGCACCTGGAGCGCTTCGACGTGACTCCCGCGTCCTTCTCAGAGCGCTTCCCGCGGCGGTTCCAAGTGTCTCTCCGGGGACAATGGGTGGTGATGGCCGCCAGCCAACTGGATGGTGGCGCGTGGACCTGGCGCCAGCAATTCATGCTGGCTCACCTAGCGTCCTCGGCTTAGGGCCAAAGTGAGGGCAGAGCGCCGCCTGGAAATTGTACCAGCCCGACCTACTTGTTGGGTTGCTAGGGTCCCGCGTGGATGAGCGAAGAGCTCCTCGGGGCGGGCCCCTTCCAGAGCTGTTTTTTCCTGCAGGACGACGCTACCTGGCCGGCACGCCTGTTCTCGCTGACCTGACGCCGGCGCCACCAGACTCAGCGGCAGTGCTACCAGACCTGGATCCCTTCCCGCCGCGCAGATGCCCACCGTTGGCAAGCCGCTCCTTGGACTCTGTGCCAGGCTGGCCAGGCAGCATGCCCGGCCGCCATGATGGGACAATCGGTCGCGTAATGGTGGGCCACGCCAGACGGTTGCTTCGAGACATCGAGGAGGCGTGGCACGGGTTTGCCCAGGAGCGTCGCCATTGCATTTGGGACGAGAGAAAAGAACTTGGACACGCGGTGCTGGGACCGCAACGCCTGCATTATCTTCCCGGGTAAGATATGGCAGTGCCATCCCGGACGCTAGAGTTCCCGCTGGCCCGCCGCTTTCCCATGGAGCGGCAGACGGGCCGCATTGGCCCGCGTTGTTGCCTGGCTCGCACACGCCGAGGGCAGGAAAAATAACGAAGTCGGCATAGCCGACATCGTTAGGGCGCCGTGGGAGGGAGAGAAGCGAATTCAGGTGACCATTGGTTTGGGAGATTACACGTTCGCAAGATGGTCGGTGTCGTTGTTGTCGTCGATGCCGTTGTCGTGGTTGCTGTCGTGGTCGTTGCTGTCGCCAGCCACCGCGTGCAGCGTGTTCGTCGTCGTCGTCGTCGTCGTCGTCGTCGTCGTCGTCGTCGTCGTGATTTGTTTGTTTCGTGGTCGTCGTGTTTTTCGTCGTCTTCGTTGTCTTCGTCGTCGTCGTCGTTGCTTCGGCAGCCTCGTCGTCACCGGCCTCGTCGTCGCCGGCGGGGGGACGCCGGCGGGGGGAAAGAGGGGGTGTGTTTGTTGGTACCCCCCCATCATTGGCGATACGCGGGGTAAGCGGGGTGGGCGTTGGGGGGTGGTCAGAGGAACGCCTTTGGGATTTTTGTCGGAGGTGTGGTCTTCGAAGTCGGAGGCCCCCTCTATTGGGAGTTAGGGAACCGCGCCCGCTCATTTGTTAGGAATTTTGCTGTTATTCGAAATCTCTCTCTCTCTCTCTTTTTTTCTGTCTCGTTCCCCGTTTTACCTGTCTCTGTCTGTCTGACTGATTGACTGTCAGTCAGTCTGTCTGTCTGTGATTCGTTCTGTCTGTCTGTCTGTCTGAATCTGTCTCTGTCTCTTCTCTGTCTCTGTCTCCTCTTTCTTTCTCTCGTTCGCTTGCCCTCGTATTTTACTGCCTGTCTCATTCTCTCGCCCTTGCTCTTGCTCTGCCTGCTATGACGTTTTCGCTCCATCATCGTCGCCGTGCTTTCCCCATGCCGCCTACCCGTCGGTCGTTGAAAGAAGATATTTCTAGACTCTCAGGTCCCAATCTGCTTTTGGCCGTCTTCCTACTGCAATGATCTACATTTTTCTCTTCCTTCCTTCCTCATCAGGAAGCGGGCGGAAGCCCAATCTACTTTGACTGCCTTCCCACTTCATGCTTCTACCCACTTCTTCCCACTGATGGGTACCCTTCTTTTGTGCGCCGTCTTCGCCAACCTCGTAGCTCTTTCGTATTTCTCTCTTTCTTTGTTTCTTTCTTTCTTTCTCTGTCTCTCTCCTCCCCCTGTCTTTCCCTCTCGACCTCTCTTTTTTCTGTCCCATCCTTTATCATACACTTTCTCGCTCTCCGTATCGATCTCTTGGTCGTTCCGTCAACACACTTCTATTTTGGAGTTGTCCTTGAGGAGTCGCGCGAGATGGAGTCCACCATCAAGAAGGGTTCGGAGGCATTTATAGTGAGCAACGCGGCAGAAGAGAGGGTGAAGAGATCAGATAACGGATGACGTGTGGCAGTGTACGCCACACAATTAATGATCCAGTATGCAGCGCAGTGGTTGTTACATGTTTATGCAGGTGCCAGCACTGCTATGTACTTCTCGCTTGAAGCCGAGCTTCTGAGACCTGGGCAGAGGGTTTCGACGTGCCAGCGATGTGTCACCTTGTGTCAGACTGGTGCTCGGACTGAGTCGTGTGACCAACAGTGACCTGCTGCTGCTGCTGTTGTTGTTGCTGTTGTTGAATACTCACTTCTAGAGAATAATTATTATTGATCTCGCGTCGACGCCGGCTACATATTCTCTGAAAACGAGGCTCCCGCTCGAGCGTTGGCTTGAGTGTAAAAGTGGGTTCTTGGAGGCCCAGCTACGACGACAACGGCTCCCGCTCGATATTTCCCCACAGTTTACCCCGAGATACCCTGGCCAGAGAGGCCCCCGACCTCAGGAACGGCGCTCTCGCTTGAGATTTTCTCACAGCCACGACACCAAGGGCTCCTGCTCGATACTTCCTCACGATTTGCTCCGAGAGCCCCTGGCCATGAAGGCCCCCGAACTCAGGAACGGCGCTGTCGCTAAATACTTTCTCATTATTCAGTCAAACTGTGGAGGTCCAAGTATGACGACAAGGGCTCCCTTTCGATACCTCCTCAAGACGTATTCGCAGAGGCCCTTGTCAGAGAGGCCCCCGAACTAAAGAGTGGCGCTCTCGCTCGAGATTTTCTTGTAATTCAGGCAAGGTGGTGGAGGCCCAGACACGGCGACAAAGGTTCCCGCTCGATATTTCTCAATCTGTATTCCGAGAGCCCCTGGCCTGGCCAGAGAGGCCCCCGAACTCAGGAACGGCGTTCTCGCTCGAGAGTTTCTCGCACTGCAATCAGTGGCCGACAAGGAAGATATTCCCCACGAAAGGAGGTGCGATCAAAGACGAAGTGGGCGGGTATCGAGGGTTGGGGTATACAGCATGTAAAACACGCGTGCCAGTAAGAGTGAACAGTCTGAAACTGATTGCTGCTGTTGTTGTTGTGCTTGTTGTTGCTATTGTTGCTGTAATGGTTGTTATGATTGTTGTTGTTGATGCTGTTGTTGTCGTCGTCGTCGTCGTCGTCGTCGTCGTCGTCGTTGTTGTTGTTGTTGTTGTTGTTGTTGTTGTTGTTGTTGTTGTCGTCGTCGTCGTCGTCGTCGTCGTCGTCGTCGTCGTCGTCGTCGTCGTTGTTGAACATTATTTCTTCTTAAGAATAATTATTGTTGGGACCCCTGGTGCACGCCCCCCCCGCCGCGCCTAGGCCGCAGCCACATTTTCATCATTTTCGTGAGGAAGTCTCAGGCAAAACGGGTTGGTCCAGATCCGGTTGTTTTGTTGTCCCCCGCTTTCCCTTGCAAAAAACACTATAAAATGGACATTTCTTGTTCTAACATAATCCAAACTTCAAGAATCCCTTGCAAAAAATAAGGTAAAGTGGACATTCGCGCGCGCAAGACGAAATCCTTCCAAAACCTTAGTTTTCGTAACGCTTTTAACATAAAAACATCAAAAAAACCATAGTTTTTCAAACAAAAATTGACAAAATTTCATCCCGCGCGCTCTTGCGGATTCGTTGGAAATCCAACACTTTTTAAACATTTCTGTCAAACGGGCTTTTGCTAGCAACTTTTTCGAACTTCTGCCACAACGGTTGCGCACCTGCCAGGGCCATCATCCCTGTGAAATAATACCATGCGGGACACATTCGTTTTTTCTTCGCGCGCGCACGCCGTCGTCGTCGGCCGCGGGGCCCTGAATAGTAGCCACGGTCGTCCGCATGCCACGAAGTGAAGTGTCCGAACGTCATAGGGCGGGAAGCTGGGTGTGGGTGGTGGCGAAGAGTCGTTTGGAAATTTGGTAGAGCTTGAACCGGCCCCCCCACAAAGTGGGGGTATTGCCCGCCTCCTATGAAAACCCTGGCACTGGTGAGAACGGAGTGTCCCCACGTGCTAGTAATTGTTGTTGTTGTTGTTGTTGAACATTATTTATTCTAAAGAATAATTATTGTTGGGCCCCCTGGTGCGCGCCCCCCCTGCGCCGCCTAGGCCGCAGCTACATTTTCATCATTTTCGTGAGGAAGCCTCAGAAAAGAGGGTGTGTACAGGATCCGGTTGTTTTGTTGTAATCCGCTTTCCCTTGCAAAAAACAATAGAAAATGACATTTCTTGTTCTAATATAATCAAATTTCAAGAATCCCTTGCAAAAAATACGGTAAAGTGGACATTCGCGCGCGCAAGACGAAATCCTTCCAAAACCTTAGTGTTCGCAGCGATTTTAACATAAAAACATCAAAAAACCAATGGTTTTTCAACAAAAAATTGTCAAAATCTCATCCCGCGCGCTCTTGCGGATTCGTAGGAAACCCAACACTTTTTAAACATTTCTGTCAAACGGGCTTTTGCGAGCAACTTTTTCGAACTTCTGCAACAACGGTTGCGCACCTGCCAGGGCCATCATCCCTGTCAAATAATACCATGCGGGACACATTCGTTTTTTCTTCGCGCGCGCACGCCGTCGTCGTCGGCCGCGGGGCCCTGAATAGTAGCCACGGTCGTCCGCATGCCACGAAGTGAAGTGTCCGAACGTCATAGGGCGGGAAGCTGGGTGTGGGTGGTGGCGAAGAGTCGTTTGGAAATTTGGTAGAGCTTGAACCGGCCCCCCACAAAGTGGGGGTATTGCCCGCCTCCTATGAAAACCCTGGCACTGGTGAGAACGGAGTGTCCCCAGTCTAAATGATTGTTGTTGTTGTTGTTGTTGTTGTTGTTGTTGTTGTTGTTGTTGTTGTTGAGTGCTAATTACTAAACAGTTATTATTGTTGGACCCCCCAAGGCGCGTTGGCGCTCCCGCCTCGGCGCCAGCCACATTTTCATTGGGAATGAGGCTCACGCTCGAGCGGTTCGGGGGGCGCCAAAACGGGCCCCCAAACAACA